AAGTCGAAGAGAATGACCACTGCATCCTCTTCGGCTCAAGAAGCGCGCATTGCTTCGTGCTCGATTTCCACCACGTTGCGAAGCATCGACCGCCCTGGAATAAAGCCGCGCTGGTTGGTGCTAACAGCCGGGGCGATGAGCGGTTCCCAGCGTAACTTGGAGGCGTTGGCAATGATACGGATGTCCGTATTCGTGATGGAAAGTTGTCGTGTTGATCCTGCCTTGTAGACACTGGCGCCGTCCTCACGGACGCGCGTTGGTTGTTTCGGCAGGCAGACCAGCAAAGACTCGTTGAAGGCGTCGTGATCCGAAGCCCCTGTCGTGAGGCCTCCTTCCAAAAACCGCCCAGCCTCCCAAAGTAAATGGACTTCGAGATTCCCCAGTCATCGCCACGCCCCGAATGGGACTCTGTATGGCCCGGGCCTCGAATTCCCAGCAATTCTCAGAGCCCGCGTGATATCCGCAGTTCGTAGTCTCCAAGAACGCTCGCTGCCCTCCACGCGGCCCGCCCCAGCATTCCTCGCAAATCGAAGCCACTCTTGGAGCTTGTCTGAATCGATGTCCTTGTTGCAGAAAACACGTTACCAATGCTCGCAAAGCAACTGCGCGATGTGCTCCGAATCGGTGAATACTGCCCCATCGTCGTTCTCCATGGCGTCCAGCCCGCTGCCCTGAAGGGATGTATCGAAGTGAGTGGCGGGGACGCATGCGGGCTGCGCCACTGGGACCTTCGATGGAGCTGCCTATCGGGCCACGCAACGTGTGTGAGCGCGCTGGAATGGGTGGCGGAGACGCCTGCGGGCTGCGCCACTGGGACCTTCGATGGAGCTCCCTACGGGGACCACGAAACGTGTGAAGGATGTGCCGAAGCTGATGGCGGTAATCGTGATGCTGATGGCGGCAATGGTGATGACACCAATGGTGATGATGACGACAATGATGACAGCGATGATGACAATACTGATGATGATGGTGATGGTGATGATGATAAAGATGATGATGCTGATGATGATGATGGTGATGATGGTGATGGTGATGATGCTGATGATGGTGTTGACGGTGATGATGGTGATGATGATTACGATGATGATGATAATGATGATGATGATGATGATGATGATGATGATGATGGTCATGATGATGGTGATGATGATGATGATGGTGATGATGATGATGATGATGATGATGATGATGGTGAACATGATGGTGACGGTGATAGTAATGGTGATGGCGATGGTGATGATGGTGATGGTGACGGTGATGGCGAGGGTGATGATGATGACGATGACGATACTGAATAATGACAATGATGGTAATGATGATGATAATGATAACGATGATGAAGAAAAAGATGATGATGAAGATTATGAAACAGCTGGTGGGAAGAAAAAGGAGGGGCAGCGGGAGGAGGAGGAGGACGCAGGACGCTGTCTCTTCAAAAAGGAGGACCCAACTCCATAGGATGGTTGGGCAGGAACCAAAAAGACCGGTACGCGGCGCTAGGCGCTAGGGCGAGAGCCACTGTGTGAAGCAAATGTGCGCGGCGCTGAGGCGAAAGCCACAATATTAATGAACCGCCCCCCAACCATGAAGCAACTGCAAGCTTTTAAGGCGAATGTGCACGGCGATACGGCGAGAGAGACACATGTTGAAAAGAAACCGCCCTCCATCCGCGAAGCGGTTGCAGACTTGTCAGACGAATGCGCGCGGCGCCAAAAGCGAGAACCGCATTCTGAAAATGAGCTGCCTTCCGTCCGTGAAGCGATTGCAAGCTGTGTAAGGCGAACGCGCGTGGCGCCAAAAGCGAGAACCACACTCTGAAGATGACCCGCCCTCCATCCGTGAAGCGGTTGCAAGCTTTGTAAGGCGAGCGTGCGCGGCGCCAGAGCGAGAACCCCACTCTGAAAAGGAGGAGGAGGGAGAGGAGGAGGAGGAGGAGGAGGAGGAGGAGGAGGGGGAGGAGGAGGAGGCGGAGGAGGCGGAGGAGGAGTGGGAGACGGAGGAGGAGGAGGAAGAGGAGGAGGACCCCCAATCCTCCAGCTGCGAGGAGGTCTCGAGCGGAACGCCCAGCCCGCCCTACGTGCACGTCTGGGGGCGCGATAGGGAGAACTCCTTCGCGAGGAAAAGGGATGGAGAAGGAGGAGAGGGAAGAGGGGGGGGGGAAGAGGAGGAGGGGGAGGGGGAGAAGAGAGACGGGAGGAGGAGGAGGAGGAGGAGGAGGAGGAGGAGGAGGAGGAGGAGGAAGAGGAGAAGGAAGAAACGGAGATGGATACTGGTCCCTCCTCCTCTTTCTCCTCTCCTCTCCCCTGGCCTCCACCTCCTTGCCCCCTCCCCCCCGATCCCCTCCCCTTCATTTCCTCCCCCGCCTCCACTCCTACTGGAGAAGATGTAGACGGAGAAGGAGATACATTGGGGAATGGAGAGGGAGGAGATACAGGAGAAGGGGGAGGACGAATACGTGCACGCGGGGGATGAAGGAGAGGGCGGCGGCGACGACGACGACGAAGACAACGACGACGATGGGAGTCTGCGCGTCAAGGGACACTGCACGTCGATGCGGCTCTGATGCGAGGGATGCGGCGGACGAGAACCAGGAGGAGCCCGATGGGCCGAGTGCGGGGCTTGGAGCTCGCTCAGATTTTGGCGTTGCAATTTTTCCGTAACGGGCGTTTTCGCCCTGTTTCGGGCCCCCGGACCCTCACAGATCGATCTGGCTAGAAAAATGCCGCGGAAAGATGGGTTCTAGGGCTCCGCTGATCGTCGCCGTCGCTGCCGGTCGACGGCGCCGGCGGGCGTCTGGCAAGCTCTGCGCCCCCACCTCCCCTGAACATCCCCACCCATCTTCACCATCTCCTCATCCTCATCCCTCCTCCTCCCTCCTCCTCCTCCTCCTCCTCCTCCTCCTCCTCCTCCTCCTCCTCCTCCTCCTCCTCCTCCTCCTCCTCTTCCTCCTCCTCGTCCTCCCCCTCCTCGCCTCCACTCCTGGCCCTTTGGGAGGGAGCGCGCACACACACACACACACACACACACACACATAGCGACATACAGAGGCACACAGGGAACGGCAGAGTTGGCGAAGCAGAGCGAGCGGTGCATGCCCACGAGTGTGCAGACACTCTCCCCTCCCCTGCCCCGTCCCTCGCGTGGGAGTCCACGCGTGGACGAGAGCTTCTCTCGCATAGGAGCGTGCGACAGCGTGCACACATAGCATGTAAGCCCTGACGACCACGAAGCTACGACAACCACACACAACACAGATGAATACACGCGTTCAAACACACACACACAAACACAAACACAAACACAAACACAAACACAAACACAAACACAAACACACACACACACACACAACACACAACGCACACATAACGCACACACACAAGCACGTCTCACGGGAATGGACGAGCTGGATACCAACATGAGAACATGATGAGAACGGATACGGGGAGGGAAACGGAGGGAAGGGGCACTACACAAGCATACAGAGACAGGAGCATAGAACAGAGATAGATGGTAAATAATGGTGCGCATATGAAGACTGAGGCGAACACGAGGGGAATGGGGAGAGGTGGGCGGTGAAAGGAAGGAGGAACAGAAAGTGGCATCTTTGCACTAGAAGGGATAAAGATGAAGAAATAATACTACAGGCGATGCGCTGCAATTCAGACGAACGACTCGTGGGGTCGACAGCGAATAGGCTCGTCAACGAAATCACCCAACGACAACTGTACACAGAATTCTCGATGCGCTGCTTGCGTCTCTGGTGAGCCCGCGTGCTGCATTCCAACGTCCCGTAGGAGAGAGCACGGCAAACCTTGCTGTGCAGCAGACTGGTGAAACGTCCGCGTCGGGTGCCCATTGAGCCCTTTTGTGCGCTGCGACGGGGCGCAGTATGACAGACACATTCATGAAGCAGTCATCCCATCTACGGGATTCTGTCTCGAGAACAACTCCAAGCATGCCATTCCTCCTCCATCCCCCCAACTGCTACTGATCCACAGCGCTGCACTTCTGGGAGCACTTCAGGCTGAGGCCCAAGAAACCCGAATACGCGTCGTGTCTAATCACTCGGTGTTGACAGTGCGTGCACGTATCTTTGCTCGAGCGTGGGCCTGAACCAACCGCTTTGCCACTGGACGCTCTGAAGTTCTCACTCGTCGCAGCCTTGATTGCAGAATTTGTACGATCGCCAGGGACGCCGACTGTGAGCGGCTGGTTCGAACACCTCCTCCTGCATCCAGGCGGTCGCCTGACAAAGCCAGTCTTCTGACAACTAATCCGAGGTGCGCATGGGCGACTCTGGAACACTTGTGGTGACGCCAGTGCTTGACGGACGAGGATCTGTACAAAACGCCTATTTCCGCCACCGGGGACGCCTGTCCCAGGGACAGGCGCCCCCGAGGGCGGCAAAGCTCATGCTGTGCAGCTTCTGCGCAGCCGGCACCTGTGCACCACCACCGTGGTTGGCCAGGGCCAGCCTGGGCCCTGGCACGGTGCATACGCCCGCCTGGCCGATGCGGGGAGGGCGTACACACCACGGTGTGGCCCAGGATGGCCCTGGCCAGGCGCGGCGGTGGTGCACAGATGCCGCCTGCGGAGCGTTCCGCCCGCTCACGGCAAGTTCGCGTCGTGTCGACCCTGGCGTGGGTTCCCGACGCCGCAGGGATCGTTCAAACTGGAACGATCGGCCGTTGCGTGAACGCCGGATCTGGATCGTTCAACGATGGGCCGATTCTGGGCCACGGGCGGCGCTCAACCTCAAACGCCGTGCGCTGGGGTCGCCGCCGGTCGGCAAGGCGCGAACCTGCCGTAGGTGCTCACCTTGATGGGCCTGTTTTCCACCACCACCACCATAAGTTGGAGGGGTAGGGGGTCCTCCACCTCCTCCTCCTCCTCCTCCTTATCCTCCTCATCCTCCTCCTCCTCTCCGTCCTCCTCCTCCTCGTCATCCTCCTTCCCCCCTCCAACTTATGGTGGCGGTGGTGGAAAACAGGCCCATCATGACCTACCCTTTGATCACTGCCAGCTCGGGCCGACGGTCCGCCGGCCCCAGCTCTACACCTGCCCGCTGGCGCCGGCGCTCCGCCGGCTTTCGCCGCGAGCGCGGCGAGGTCCGGGGCCGCTCCTGCGCGCCGCCCAGGCCTCCTCCCGAAGACGGGGCCAGAAAAAATCGAGGAGGAGGAGGAGAGGGAGGAGGAGGAGGAGGAGGAGGAGGAGGAGGAGGAGGAGGAGGAGGAGGAGGAGGAGGAGGAGGAGGGAGGAGGGAAGGAGGAGGAGGGAGGGAGGAGGAGGGAGGAGGAGGAGGAGGAGGAGGAGGAAGAGAAGGCCCATCGCTCGAGGAAGCCCTTGCCGAGAATGGAGGAGAGCGCCAAGCTGGGCGCGGTGGCGTGCTCATCGGGGCGGGCGAGAAGGCGGGGGGGGGGCTGGGGGCAGCCAAGCGGTGGCCCAGCGAATCACCTGCACGCAGCTGGTTCGAAGGCGCCTCCCCGGTGCGGAGAGCGACTGTTCGTTGAGGAGTGCGCCCGGAGGCGGCGCCGAAAACGAATGCACGCAGCGCTGTTTCGTACCCGCACCCCCCCTCCCGCTCCAACCCCTTCCCGCCCCCCCCCCCCCCCCTGCACCCTCCGTTCGTCCGGCTGGAGCATAGCGCATGCATCTGTACAGACAGATCCCAGCTGCGGGGCCTGTCTCTCTCTCTTCCCTCTCTGTTCAGACATGTCCAGACGCATAGTACATACAAGAACATACTAGAAGCCTAGCTCTAACATTTTTTATATATTCTCTCTCTCTATCTCTCATGATGTGTTTCCCTCTCTCTATAAATGTGGGACTGCACATATATGTCCATATATCTATATATAATTCCAGGGATACCCCTCCATGTGCGAATAAGCATGCCACTTACCCCTGCTCACTCCAGATGCAGACATACATAGATGCATGCAGGCATGCATACATACATGCATACATACATGCATCCATACATACATACAAACAAACAAGCAACCATACATATACACATACAAACATACATACACACCGACCTACCTACCTACCGACCGACCTACCTACATGCATACAAACATACAGACTGACAGACAGACAGACATGCGTGCACACTTACATATCTACAGGCATGCATACGTCAATGCATACAGACATACACACATGTATACATATACATACATATATGTATACAAATCTGTATAAGCACATAGACGGACACGTGAAAGCGTGCAGACATGAAGACACGCATGTGTAAGGATGTCGAACTACGCATCTAAACACTCCCGCCTCGATGTACCAAGTCCATGTAATTGATGTGGCGGGTATACAGGACAATGTATGTGTATCAGTATATGTATGTACACACATATAGATATGTATGTATGGAAACGCGCTCATCTGCTTGTTCTCCGCGACACCGTACAGATTATGCCTCTCGCGGGGAGGAGGAGTAGGACGAGGAGGAAACCCATAGCCACAAGACGCCCAGCAGGAGGTGGAGCGAGGGAGAGAGGAAGTGGAGGAAAATGATGGCCAGGACGAGGAGGAGACAGAGGGAGTGGGAATGGGAATGGCCTCGAGCAAGAGTCCAAGCACGGACCCCTGCTGCACAGAGACGAGGGTCAGGGGCCAACCACTGGCTTAGCAGTCGGCCCGAGGCCCAGTGAGCCCACCCTTCCTGGGGTCCAGCCCACGGCCCACACGAGGCCCTCCGACCATGCAGGCCAGGCGCTTGGGCCTGGCTCAATTCCGCCACGGGCGTCTCACCCCGCGCCGCCCGCAGCAACCTCTGGACAATGCGGGCTCGCCTTTCATCGTCGGACTCAGGCTTCAGCGCCGAGGTGCTCCCCCCACCCCATCCGACGACGACCTCACGACCCCGCCCCCGTCCCCCCCACACGGCCTCGCCTCCTCCCCTAAGGATCCAAATCCTAAGCTTTTTTGATATCTCACCTTTTTTGATATATCCCAAGAAATGTGCGATATATTAAACTCTGTGCGATATCTCAAACTTTTTGATATCTCAAAAAGTTTGAGATTTGTATATATGTATACATATGTGTATACTCATACGTGTATACACATATGTGTATGTATGTGTGTTACGTACGTATATATGCGCATATGTATGTTTGCGCATGTGTAAGCACATATTCATACACTTATACACATGTACACATGCATATAACATTCATGTATCGTCTGTGCTCACACGTGTATATACACACATATATATACATATATATATATATATATGCATGTGTATATATATGTATATATGTATATATACATATATGTGTGTGTGTGAAAAAACGTACATACATTTAAATACATTGACCACGCGAATATACATATACACGTATGTGTGTATATATATAAATGTATAGACATGCATACATACGCGCATACAAGACTATATACTGGGCCCTGCAGCTGTCCACCGACAGGTGTCCCCAATGGGCCTGGCGCGGATTCGCCGCCAGGCGTCCTCCGATATGTCTTGCGAGCACAATTTTTTTCACAGAAGACACCATCAACGTGATAACACGATGCTCAAAATGCGCATGTAATTCTCAACGATCTTATGTGGAATCAACGACTGCGTCGTGCCCACCAGGCACGCTTCTGCAACGTCCCGCAAGAGGCCAACAAAATTCTCAAACGAATAACACCACGACACTTTGGGGTTCTGCCACCGAGCATGCCTCACAAGATGATAAAGCCAGTGGAATTTGTAAGTCACATTGTAGTGGCCGCGCCCCGCGGCCAGGGAAACTTGCGCAAGCATATTATAGAGGAGTAAGAACTTGTCCCCAAGCAAAACAATACGATCAGCCTTGTCATGATCCAAAAACATGCCACCTGAATCGATGATTTCGTACACGTCTGCCAATGTTTCATATGCGAGAAGACGTGCGCGGGCGTGCTCTGAATCCAACGGTAAAGTTTTGAGCACGACAACCATAGCAGGTACCAAATGCCTTGACACGTTGGCCTTCGCGGAGAGTACACCAAAGCATTCACCGCCAATCATGCTTGGCGTGAGGTGTGGCAGCCTACTTTTGGATCCTAATGTTTTGTATGCGTCTTGAATCAGTGCCCACAAAGATTTCCAGCGGAAATTCTCGTTGCCAGGAAATGGGCCGTCAGGCCTTGTTAAATCTTTGATGCAACCGCCATGCATATACAGATCTATTCCCAAATGGTTAGTATGCATCCAATCACCAAGATAATGAAACCGAGTTACTCCAGGAATCGTCCATATTGGGTGGGCGGGCGATGGGGGGGAATCGCCATGTGTATATATGTGGGGGATCCACGGGGCGTGTGCCGACACATCTTTGTAACTCATAGCGCCATTGTCTGCGGGACACCAGTGACATTTTTGATGCGCACTATAATGCTGCACTTTGCATTCGTTGCAGGCGTACTCGGCGTCCATAGGTAATTGCCACACAACGCCGAAAAACTCATTGTTAGCGATAGCCTTGCCTCGGAACAGTGTAAGCAGAAGAAACCTCACTCATCCTCCCCCTCTCCTTCCTCCTTCCTCCTCCAGTAGCCCTCCTCGTTCTCCGCCTTCCTTATCGTCCTCCTCGTCGTGTTCATCGTTTTCATTCCTTCTTCCTCCCTCATTCCTCCCTCCGCCCCCCCATCCCCCCATTTCGGGGGCCAAGGGGGCAGAGAGGTTGGGATGGGCGTTTCTTCTGCCTAGCCTGCTCTCTCTGCTTCCATCGAACTGTCGGGCCAACATTCCCCAAACGGGTCCAATGCTGGATGTACACCATCGAATAACCCAGTAAATCCATGTCTCAAGTACGCCCATATTTTTTGCCATGCGTCTGCACCACCATGTAAATTCTCATAGCACCGAGCCCCCTTTGGGAAACATGCAGATAGAAAAATGTTGCCCCAACCCCACTGGTGGGGGTCCGTGACAAATGACCATTGTACAGAAACGATATTACTGGAATGCCTGCCAAACCTCACCCCGTCACCATGTATGGCCAGAGGGACCGCGCGTTTTCTCCAGTTTGGTTTGTCCTTCATCGGGTGGTTGATGAAACGAGGGTCGTCGTCGAGAACTTGCCCCCAGAAGTCCTCGAGTCCAGCACCCAAACATTGTTTGAAGTGTGGCTTGAAATTGGAGAACATGTTGTCAAACAAAGTATTCGGCATAATAATCGGCACATCTCGAAACAACGGGTAGTGTGGATCGCCTCGCAAATCAACGTACGGTAATCTCACTCTCAACGGTGTGGGCAAGGTAGGCAAAATGGGATTCGCTCTCATCAGATCGCGTCTTACATTGTTTGGGTATTCTCCATGGGCACCTAGTTTAGCGAGGGGCGATAACCGTGGGTGTGGTGTCATTCCCCCAAGCGAATGCTCTTCAACTGCTTTATCTGCAATTTTCTGAACCAGCGGTGCTGACATTAGCCCAATTGCCCAGAACTCAATAAGCAGATCAGCTAGAGGCGATTTCTGTCGGAAACGATTGTGGGCCGTGGAGCCTGGGGCCACTCCTCTCTGAACATAGCCGCCCCTGTCGTGCGAGAGAAACAAATCTATAGCATCAGATACAGCAGACGACGCCATAATAGCTTGATATATATATATATAAAACGTAAGGCTACGGAGTGACAGTCGATGCGAATCTGGGTTTCGATGCTTGTGTCGACGATCTTCGTTCCTACATACTTGTGGCGACGACCCAACACCAACCGCCAGCTCGGACGAGTGCCCAACCCTCAATATATGTGTTGTTGTTTTTTATGTACCTTCTGATCGTTTCTAGCTTGATTGCCCAACACCAAATACGAACGAGGACCCAACGCCAATGAAGGCGATGAGATGGAGGACCCAACCCCAAATTACATTCACGAATGCCCTCTGGGACAAACTAATGGTGACGAGGAGGTGGAGGATGAGGTGACACGGAGATGGAGGAGGACGTAAAGGGGAAGTTGGTGGAGGAGGAGAAGGAGGTAGAGGCCGTGGATGTCTTTTCACCAGGCAGCGGTTGCTACAGGCACCGTCTCGGGAGCGGCCGCTCCACGCAACAATTCACTCAAACAAACTCGGGTATGGAACGCATCACCGTGTGACTAAGGTCGTATATGATCATTTCTTGTCGAATGCCTTGCATTTCTTGACGATCTCAGTGGCATCCTCGAGCAGCTTCTTGCCCCTGGCCTCCGCCCTGGTAGCCT